CATACCTGCCTTCGCGGGGGCAAGAGCGGGTTATGCCGGAATCGCACCGATTAAAACCCCCACGATGTTCCACCTAGGCGCATATCGGCAGGGTCACGGGAACGCTTTTGCACACTTCCGCGGTCCTGTCAGCGCTGGATGCCTCAGCAGCCCCCTCCAGGAGAGCAACTACCTTCTCTTCCAGTTAAGGCGCGGAGGAATATTCAGCGCCCTTCATAATCGGCCCCATGTTTAAGGCCAAAGAACTCCCCCGAGTTCGCTGACCGAGGCCATGGGAGCCGCCAGGAGAGCCAGTGCTAATAGGCAGCAAGCACCTAGTGGTGGACCTGGTCTGTGGTTCTGCCGCTCACCACGTTTCGGTCGCGGAGGGTTGGGAGGACGGCACATCGTAATACCGACACACCTCCCTCCCCGTGGCCTTACCACCACTACATCAGCGGTGCAATCCCGCCGAGTCACGGAGGATAGGGTGAGCGGCCAAACAAAATACCGGCACTCCTTTTCCCCCATGACTCCTATTCGGTAGCAGAAGACAGGGAGAGTGGCTCCTCCTCTACCACCCTCGACCTGTCCCCTGCACCCTCCACCACGCATCCAGAGTGGGCTCAATAAGCCCACTTGGTGCGGCCCTCTCGGGCCGGCCTTACACCACAGGCCGGCCCAGTGTGGGTTTCTCCTAGCTTCGCCGTGGGTGACTAAGCCACGGCTACTAAGCCCCTCCGCCACGTCAAGGCGGGAACCCGGTCGGAGGGGATTATAGGTGACCTGATCTACCTTCTACTTACCTGGAGGTATCTGCCCATTCCTGCAACTGCGAAAACTGTTTCGTGACCCTACCATAGTAAAAGCACTTGGAATTATTTGCTATACTTTTATTTGATAGATATTAAACGTAGAAGCGGACTGCTTTGGCAAGTGAACGTCACTAGTTCAATTTTTTATTAATCTTCCGTTTAATTAATTACAGCTATATTTATACTGTCTATATAAATATGACATACAACGTAAATATTTTTGTTATGCGTAACAGGCGATCGAGTTGAAAATATACACCTTTGAATTTGAATTTAAGTGGTTACCGTCCTGCAAAATCTATTGGATTGGAGATACGTTAGAAACGTTCCAAAAAAAACCAGCATGAAGTAAAAAAATTTGCATTTTTCGTCTGGTGAGTGAGGTAACCAGTAGTCACGTCCGAAACATCTCTGGTATTGTGCAGCATCTATGGGTCCTGGTTCTCACATCATAGGTCATCCGCATGTTCAGTTGCGGTCGTTTAAACAAAAAGAGTTATTGTCACCGTTAAGGGTAAAAGATAAAAATGATCATTTAGCCCTAGCAGTGCCAGAGATATCTGGCACTGCTAGGGCTAAAAGATGGGATGTTCATTATTATTATATCCACGAGCGCAAAACTCAACAAGTGACAGTTGCGGCAAATTAGTATAAAAATAGCAGAGGTTGGACGTCGAACGTTTATCGAGTAAGGGAGGGCGTCGCTCGCGGATTAATGGCCTAATTAAGCGGAAGAGAGGAAAAAGGAAACATTTGGACCGTGCAGACGGCGTCGATTCACTTTCAACTGTTTGAGGCAGGTCCGGGAAGATTTTTACGCCAGTTTTCAGTCTTGCTCTGTGTAGTCGCGCCGCGCGGTATTGGCCCATGAGCGATGACACTTTCATAATGATATAATAATTATCTTTTGTTATGTTGTTACGGGAGATATCTTTTTCATAATGATATACTATCTTTTGTTATGTATTTACGGGAATTCTACGAATTAAAGAGATTTAAATAAATCGGTAACTTAACTTATACTTCAAATGTTATTTTGCCTCATGAACATTGGGAAGATGAATTTTTTATACTTCCCGCGTTTATTAATATAATTACGTCCACGTCTTATTCAAATAGATAAGAACGGTTTGGAACCTTTACTAATACTAACGACTTTCGGTTCTTTGGAACTCACGATACAAATTTCATATATACAGTTCAATATATAGGCTCCGCAACGATTTCGTGTATTAATTATTCATTTATTTATTTTTAAAAACATTATATAGGGTAACGCTCCTCATAAAAACGGCATTCAGAGTGTTCAAAAGCATCGGACAAATCTTTAGTTACGTCCTAATGTGTTTTTGCCATATATAAATTGCCTACAAAACCGTTTCAGCTCGTATCAGACGAAATAATAAAACGATAACTCCTCTTCCCCATCGCGAAATCTGAAACAACAATGGCGAATACGGTCTGCGAGAATAACTCGACAACCGCGACCATCGCCGCTTGGAGCAATCATAATGAATATTTTATTTTATCATAGCGTGCCCCCTCCCCCGCCTTGTGCAGCCCCCGCTCACCCACCCGCGCCCCGTCAGCCCTGAACTTGACACCGAGCGAAAAATTAGTTCACAAGGCGAAAGTGAACTTTGTACCGAGTTTGCACTTTTTGAACGTACCAAGACCGAGATAACAGAAGTTCGAGGCTTAGCGGCGCGGCGGCCATCTTGCTTTGCGTTCAACGCACCTGTCAAGCTGAGGTCTGCGTCTGTGTCAGATATTGGTCAGTGCAAACGCATGCATAATTTTCTTATCATGGCAGTAAACTAACGCAGTCGCGATCATTTATTTGATGTTACAATTTTTTTTACACATCTACGCACAAAAAAATAATTTTAATTTTAATTTTTTTTTCTATCTAATTTAATTACTATCTAATTTTCATTCAGATTGTGTTTTAGTTATAAGCTAGTTTTGCCATATTGAAGTACAATGTATCAAGTAGTTTAATTCGATGCTTAAATCGATCAGTGTTGTAGTGATACGCCTTCTGGTGAATTAGGTTTTAGTCATTTTAATTTCAATGGTTCATATATCTAGATATTAATCAGTGTAGGTGCTACCATATCAACCATTATATTTTTACCATAATGTCCCATTCAATGCATAAAGATCATCTATCGTGTTAATAATATAAAAATATCTGGATAATAATATCAAAGCTATCACTTTTTCTATTTGTTGTATCTTATCCAGGTCTACGATATCGGAATGCGTATAAGGATAATAAGCTTTGCAATTCTAGCTTTAACAGCAGGTAACAGACGAAAACGTAATTGTAAGACTCTGGAGCTTTAAGACAGGTGTAATCTTTTCACTGAATAAATATCTGTGAAATATTTAAGACGATAACATAAAACTTCAATACGACGCCGCAACGCAATCACTCCGTTTATTTATAACAAATTCGCTGCTAATTAACTACTCTACAAGCGCTTAAAGTTACACATAAGCCTTATTCCGCACTCGGGGCCACCCCAACCGAACAGTTCAAAAAGCACCAGAGTGAGGCTACTTGTGAATTAACATACTCCACTCAAAGCTACCAAACTAACCGCGTACGAGAGAAAAAAAATCTTACCTATTTCACTCATTCACTCACTGTATGAGGCTAATTAAAAAAGTACAGAGGTTGGTTCCGCGAGTGGCGTAGTTCCGCTACTCTCCGCTAGGTAGCGCTTTTCGCTTTGACGAGCCCCGGCGGTTTTGTCGGGGGATGTTTGTGCGGTTTCATTTTTTAATGAGGTCGTGTATTCGGGCCTCCGACGCTGGATAGGCCGCCCCCGCTTTGTGAGCGCGATAACCGCCGTGAGTCCCAGTTAGGCGTAAGCAACGCAAAGAGAGCGACGGGGTACGCGGCACGCATGTGTGTGTGCGTGAAAGAGTTACGTTTAGGCCCGCTCTTCGTTTATTAATAGCGCGCCTGTGACGAAAAGTTATCAGGCATGGTGGCTGTGCATGCCTTGTACGTTATGTGAGGCTGTATCATCGCGGATTTTTTTCCAGAATTTTCGATGGAAGCTATAATCGCTCAAATGTTACTAACATTTGAGCGATTACATGGCACTACATGAGCAAGCTTCTCAGCTTGCTGACGTTATGTCATCAAAAAGTAATGGTTAGTAATCACTGACCCATGAAGACGCCAATATTGACTTATTCATTTTAACGGCGCATTAAAATTAATGAGTAATAAAAGCTTCAAATAAATTATAGATTATTTGTTACTTAATTGCTTCGTTATTAATGAGAACCCAAATATATATAAATATTATAAAACAATAGTTTTATCATAATTATAAACAATAGTTTTATCCGGCGGGAAGTGGAAGTATTATACTTTCATTTTTCGTCTAGCGAGTGAGGTGACGGGATCCACGTTTTTAATGGTTGGCAACGCGTCTGTTCTGTAAATGTCCGTGAGCACCCGTAGTTATTTAACGTCAGGGGAACCGCCTGCTCAATTGTCAAATTTTCATATAAAAAAAAAAAACTCCGTTGAATGATAAATGTCAGTTACATATTATTCATTATCTAGGGAAAAAAGCAGCCAATTAAAAACGCAGTATACTCGAAATAAATTTGCGCGACATCTACATGTGAGTAGCTAATTCATATAGTACCAGATAGATGTCACTGCTTAAACGCGACACTCTAATCAAAATTTTCTTTTAATTAAAGTGCTCTATACAGCAGAAGTTACCAATTATGTATAAAAAATAGATAATTATTATATAGATTGGATAAATTCTTTAGAGGCCTATAAAATGTGCTGATGCATCGGGCATCATAAATTTATTTCTAAGGATGAAATATTTATAATTTATTTGGCTTTTCTTAGGTTTTACGTATATTTCATATCTAAGTTCTATGGTCTATTCTATCCATTTCATGAAATCTAAATAATCTCCATTGTAATGTAAATAAGCCCTGACGAGGATTGTCAAATTTAAGGAGGCTGTAGTAGAGGCGCGTCTGACAGAAGGAAAAGAAAGAATTCATTCCAAAAATGAACGTCGAAAGTCGCTGTCAATCAACAAAATTCTCCGATTGTCCAATAATATTTACAGTGTAACATAATATATTCGGTATTAAAATGACAAATCAACTGTGTGCGCGGGCGTAGTACTTTTTCAGGACTTTTTATGCTCTGCGATGGTTCGGTGGAGGTTGTGCCTGGTGCTGGCCGTGCTGCTGCTCCTCCCGGCAAGGAGTCGCTCCAAGTTGGAGGATGATGATGACGACGAGTGAGTTGGATAGTTGAGACATCGGTCTCAGTGTTTGCTTCAAAGTAACTCATTCAGATTTAATGTTAATATACTCACTGTTGCTTGTCAATACATTTATTGTAATGTTTTGTATATACGTCATAACCTTAATTATTACCTAAAGAATAGTGACAGACATAAAATAAACACTAGAAATAAGGACAAACTTACTACGCCATTGTTTCGTCTACAAAAAGTAAATAAGTCGTTCATGGGGCAAAGTGTGCGCATGTATAATAAAATCCCACAGTCGATATTAAGTCTGCCGCTTGACCAATTTAAATGTAAAATTAAAAATCAACTGATGATTAAAGCATATTATACCATTTCGGAATATCTCGACGACGCCAATGTGTGGAGTTAATACTGTTGATACTCACGTAGGCTAGAATAAGACTATTATACCTGTATATTATATTGTACCCTGATATTTTTGAAAAAGAGCAACTGTTGAGTTTCTTGCCGGTCTCTTCTCCACAGAAACCGCTTTCCGAACCGGTGGTACCTTACGAACCTATATACATAATCTTTGATGTAAAATTTGACGATTCATAAGAGCGCGCAAGCGTCTATTTCAATAAATATATTTTTGATTTTGATTTGAATGGAATATTTTAGTACATGAAGTACTAGAATATACCAATATACCACTGATATACACAAAACTCTCCTGCATCACGGTAAGAATAGATAGTGATGACATTGACACATTGGCATTAGCTCTTGCAAATAACGGTTAATAATAATTATGAAATTAGTATACTAATTACTGGAAATGTTTGATTTGGGTGATGAACGTCTCTAACTTTTATTAACATTAAAATGTCAAAATAAAACTATATTAATATTGAAATTTAAATTGTTTATAGTGCTAATCTTTGCACTTAAGATTGAACATTCAAATATGTAGAAAAAGTGCGAAAAGATTGTCGCCGCTGTGGGAATCGAACCCACGTCTTCGGCATTCGCGGCCTGACGCTCTAGCCACTGAGCTAAACGGCTGATGACCACACCGACGAAAATCTTAACGCATTGTTCTACATTGTTTTCTTAGCATTTGAAGCAATGCTTGGCGCCATCTATTGTTATATCCTTTCCAGCATACAAACAATTTCGAATATCGTTTTACAACGATAATTCGAACGAGAGATGTCGCCATTGCTTTTTTAGAAATTTAAATTGTTTATAGTGCTAATCTTTGCACTTAAGATTGAACATTCAAATATGTAGAAAAAGTGCGAAAAGATTGTCGCCGCTGTGGGAATCGAACCCACGTCTTCGGCATTCGCGGCCTGACGCTCTAGCCACTGAGCTAAACGGCTGATGACCACACCGACGAAAATCTTAACGCATTGTTCTACATTGTTTTCTTAGCATTTGAAGCAATGCTTGGCGCCATCTATTGTTATATCCTTTCCAGCATACAAACAATTTCGAATATCGTTTTACAACGATAATTCGAACGAGAGATGTCGCCATTGCTTTTTTAGAAATTTAAATTGTTTATAGTGCTAATCTTTGCACTTAAGATTGAACATTCAAATATGTAGAAAAAGTGCGAAAAGATTGTCGCCGCTGTGGGAATCGAACCCACGTCTTCGGCATTCGCGGCCTGACGCTCTAGCCACTGAGCTAAACGGCTGATGACCACACCGACGAAAATCTTAACGCATTGTTCTACATTGTTTTCTTAGCATTTGAAGCAATGCTTGGCGCCATCTATTGTTATATCCTTTCCAGCATACAAACAATTTCGAATATCGTTTTTACAACGATAATTCGAACGAGAGATGTCGCCATTGCTTTTTTAGAAATTTAAATTGTTTATAGTGCTAATCTTTGCACTTAAGATTGAACATTCAAATATGTAGAAAAAGTGCGAAAAGATTGTCGCCGCTGTGGGAATCGAACCCACGTCTTCGGCATTCGCGGCCTGACGCTCTAGCCACTGAGCTAAACGGCTGATGACCACACCGACGAAAATCTTAACGCATTGTTGGCGCCAAGCATTGCTTCAAATGCTAAGAAAACAATGTAGAACAATGCGTTAAGATTTTCGTCGGTGTGGTCATCAGCCGTTTAGCTCAGTGGCTAGAGCGTCAGGCCGCGAATGCCGAAGACGTGGGTTCGATTCCCACAGCGGCCACAATCTTTTCGCACTTTTTCTACATATTTGAATGTTCAATCTTAAGTGCAAAGATTAGCACTATAAACAATTTAAATTTCTAAAAAAGCAATGGCGACATCTCTCGTTCGAATTATCGTTGTAAAACGATATTCGAAATTGTTTGTATGCTGGAAAGGATATAACAATAGATGGCGCCAAGCATTGCTTCAAATGCTAAGAAAACAATGTAGAACAATGCGTTAAGATTTTCGTCGGTGTGGTCATCAGCCGTTTAGCTCAGTGGCTAGAGCGTCAGGCCGCGAATGCCGAAGACGTGGGTTCGATTCCCACAGCGGCGACAATCTTTTCGCACTTTTTCTACATATTTGAATGTTCAATCTTAAGTGCAAAGATTAGCACTATAAACAATTTAAATTTCTAAAAAAGCAATGGCGACATCTCTCGTTCGAATTATCGTTGTAAAACGATATTCGAAATTGTTTGTATGCTGGAAAGGATATAACAATAGATGGCGCCAGCATTGCTTCAAATGCTAAGAAAACAATGTAGAACAATGCGTTAAGATTTTCGTCGGTGTGGTCATCAGCCGTTTAGCTCAGTGGCTAGAGCGTCAGGCCGCGAATGCCGAAGACGTGGGTTCGATTCCCACAGCGGCGACAATCTTTTCGCACTTTTTCTACATATTTGAATGTTCAATCTTAAGTGCAAAGATTAGCACTATAAACAATTTAAATTTCTAAAAAAGCAATGGCGACATCTCTCGTTCGAATTATCGTTGTAAAACGATATTCGAAATTGTTTGTATGCTGGAAAGGATATAACAATAGATGGCGCCAAGCATTGCTTCAAATGCTAAGAAAACAATGTAGAACAATGCGTTAAGATTTTCGTCGGTGTGGTCATCAGCCGTTTAGCTCAGTGGCTAGAGCGTCAGGCCGCGAATGCCGAAGACGTGGGTTCGATTCCCACAGCGGCGACAATCTTTTCGCACTTTTTCTACATATTTGTATATTAATATTGGTTCGTGCCGATGTTTAATTTTTTTCAAGATCTTTTCTATTATTAAAAAAAATTAAAAACGGGACATGGTTCATCACTATAATATTGTACTTGCTTGTTTATTTTGACCTTTATTTGTATATTTCTTAAACAATAAGGATTTTCGTTAAAAACAAATTGGATTTAATTTGTTGGGAATTTAACATTGTGAGCTATTAGGGATTGGTGACTTATTCGATTTTCTGCATGCGGACGTATCTTATTAAGAAGATTTGGTCGCTAAGATTATATTTTATGGGAAAGTAGCGAACTGGGCAGACGTTGTCCTGTACACGCGACTTAAATCCGACAACTTATAAATTAAAAAATTCAAAATTTTTCAATCTTCAGAATTCAGAATCTAAACCATTCTCAAATCGACCTAAAGACATAAAAAAAATATTCAAATCGGTCCAGCCGCTTAGGAGGAGTTCAGTGACACACACGCAGAGAAGAATTATATATATAAAGATATAAATAATTAACTCTAGCCTTGTGTCGGATGTTGCCTGTGGAGCCAACTGCTGACTGAGAAAGTGTCGTGATACCGTTCAGAGGAGCGAAGAAAAATTAAAGTATTTACTATTCTGCGTTTTCCCTTGAGTTTTGTAGACACAGACATGAAGCTTAATTTTTATATATAACGGTAGTAGGGCCACGCAACAATCTTCTCTGTTGCACGAATGGGTAGGTCCATCCGGGTAAGTGGCACGACCGTGTAAAGTGGAAGTATTTCTGCGTTTCATGTGGCGAGTGAGTTAGCCGGAGCCCGCCTTATTATGATGTGGCAGCGTATCTGCAACCATGCGGGTGTTGCAAATGTCCACGGGCGGCCGTTCTCATTCACCACCACGCGGTGAACCGCCTGCTCGCTTGGCACGTTCTCGTATAAGACCCTACAAAGATGGGAACCTCTCATGTCGTATGACGTATTCGACTCACTGTTTCAAGGCGAAACGAGGAGGACGATGACGAAGACGAAGGAGAGGACGAGGAGGAGGACGACAGCGAACAGGTGGAGAAGGCGGACACGGGGCCAGGGAGGCGGGCGCCTTCGAACCTGCTGCCAGTCAACTTGCCGGCGCCGAAACCGGTGCCCGTGACGCGGACCACGGCCCGCCGCTCCCTCGAGTGCTACGTGTGCGCGTACAAGGCGGAAGCGCAGCTGAAGGCCTGCCTGGACCCGACCAAATACAGGTAGTGCCAATGATATTGTAAATACGAGGTAGACGTGGCACTCAAATTGCACCAATTCTTGTAATTAGATTGCTACTCTATAGACTGCTATGTCTTTCCGTATCATACGTTCTACATCATGTGTCACGTTCACTTATATATGTCATATAATGTTAAACGGAACAATTTCACAAGGGACAATTTCAAAATGACTGGTCTGAATAGTTGTGGAATTTGGCAAGTCTGAGTGCTGCATGGATGTAAAAACTGAAAAATGTCTATTACCGTTCTATCACTTTGTGTGGAAAATATTTAGTTTTTTGTTAGTTACTTTATCCAGCTCGTATCTAGTGCACGAATGGGCGGTATCCGGGAAACTATTACGGCCTCATCTCTCATAGAAGACTGGTGTAAAATTGAAGTGTTACGTATACTTTTGCTACCCTGGTGATAACTGGGACCCAAACTTTAATGAAGGACAAAGCAATTCCCATGCCACGCGTATTGTAGATATGCATGGGTGGTGGTGATCATTTAGCATTACATGAATCACTTGCTTGCTTATTTGCTAACACCTCACATAAAATAATACTAACGTACATTGTATGTTTATTACCTAATGTCAATAATTGTGTATGTACAGAAAGAGATATACTTTACAATCCGTACGATGGTACAGTATGGGGAAGAATATGTGGACCGTGGTATAGTTACCAAGTTTCTGGATTCGGCAGTGGGGACCGTGGGTTCGATTCCCGCTTGGGACAACTATTTTTGTGGCCTACAGATAATTGTTTCGGATATGGATGCTTGTCCATGTGAAATTTATGTTTCTCCTTACAGAACAGAATAATATCCCAAAATAAGGGCAATATTAAAAAAAAGAAAAAAAAATCCACAAAACACTGCGATCAGTTCTTTTCAAGAATATGGAATAAGTACCTACTCAATAATTCGTAACATCCGACAAACCGTTCTGATTGCTGTACGTCGGTACTGGTACCAGCGTAAAACTGATAATTTCAAGATTTTCGTGGTAATGATATAACGACGTATTGATTTTTTAATTTTTTTCGATAGAGTGCACACAATCACATGTCACAACGTAGACGACAAGTGCTTCACGTCCGTGGTGTCCAAGGGGAACACTTACGAGGCGGTCATACGCGGCTGCCGATCCGGCTGCCTCGGCACCTCGGAGACCACGTGCTGCGAGGTGGGTTATACCCAAGACGGTACAGTGGCGTAGATTTTTTTTAACCGATGTTTGTGCTTTCAGTCCCGAGACTATTAAAGCTTCATCTGACGCAGAACCGGTGGGCTAGCCAGAACCCACGGGTTTGGGCCCTCCGCTGTGGGTAGTGCCGCGCATGTACTCATGCGTGCGTTTATCTACGGAGTGGCGTAGAGCATAACTGTACCATTTTCTTTTTAACCTGTCGTGAAAGAGGGTTGTTATAGGTTTGATGTCTCTGCCTGTGTATCTGTGTGTCTGTCTGTGGCAACGAATGGACCGACTGTGGTGCAGTTTGTTTTGTTTGAAATCTAACGTGATCCACTTACGGCTCTTAGCTATCATTTGAGCTCTTTTGAGTGTCAGTGGTTTACTTAAAATTTATAATTTTAGATTATTAAACAGTGTATATTGACAGTATCAGTTACAAGTAGTAGGACTTTTAGTATAATCTGTGGCCGAGTTGCTGTCGGGCGAATGATTCAGTTTGTCCTGGGAAGGTGATAAACTTCACAATTCACAGTAGAAGGAATGGTAACATTTTTACTTGTGGTTTTCGTATAGAAAGTAGGGAAATCCAGGGTGGGTTTAGGCGATGCGTATAGGCGATGGTAATAACCTACTATCTATAAACTCCTTAATTTTATCTCTTCTCTTATAAAACAAAACGCGATCAGCGTTGTTGAAAAGATAGGTTATTTCTCCACTTGTTCAAAAATTGGATGATATTTTTTTTAATTAATCACATTAATATTATAGTTGCAATAATATCAAAGTATTTACAGTTGTTGATAGTACGTGACCACGTTGTCTGAAAATTGGTCAAAACGTCAGATATTAAAAGCGTTTGTAAACGCGATAAAATTCGTTCGCTTAAGTACAAGAGAATATTAGTAGATAAAAAATCTAAAATTCTTCCTATTCACAGCTGAACCGTTGCAACAACCAAGCGCTAGCCTTGCCAGTCATAGCGCCGAGCGCTCTGAAGGACAAATCAAGCAAATCGATTCCGCCCACCGTGTTCTTTTTCGTCACTGTTTTACTGTTGCTTCAGACGGTGGGTAAAGTTGCTTTCGGATAATTGCCTCTACACAATTGTATCTCTAAATTATTGAATGCAGGACTATTTCAGACATCTGTTAATTAACTTTACGCAGAAATTGTATTATGTTGTAACACGTTTCTCCTTGCCAATGTAACACATTTATTTGGTTCTTCAAATATTTTAACATATAGCGAGCAATGAAATGGAAAAGTAATCCTTGTGATACTGTGATAGTAAGTGTCAATGATGTCATATTTTGAAGTCTTGTTTTGCAATGTTTCGATAATGTTTTTGTATTAAAGCGTTCGCTTGTTGTTTCCGTTGGCAGTTTTATTTCATATCTCTAAGATGTTCATTGTCAGTAGGTACCCAATAACTACCATAGTTCTCAAAAAAATTTAATGATTTAAACACCATTCAAAAGCTTATATTTGCCGCTATTGACCGAAAACAGAGAAGATGAAAGAATAATAAAATAGTTATTTTTTTCATAAAAAAAAACCTTTCCTTTCCCTTTTAAAACTTCTCGTAAAGAATGGACGATAATGTCATTTATATAACCCTAACTGATCCGGCATACGTTGTTTTGTGGAATTTCGTAAAATCCGTTACTCGGCGAAAGGAATATTCCTAGCAAATTTCAAGTCTCTACGCCTTATGGTTCCAGATATCGTGATGAGTCAATTATTGGTGGAAATCTCTTATATATATATAGATTAACTGCACGCAACACAAACAACATTGTCTTCGCTGTTGCACGAATCGGCAGGTCCGTCCGGGTTAAGTACCACGACTTCACAGAAGACCGGTGCGAAGTGGAAGTATTAAGGCGGGGCCCACTTTATTAAAAGGTGGCAAGGCATCTATCTGCAATCAGATGGGTATTGCACATGACAACGGGCAGCGGTTATGACTTAACATCAGGTGAACCGCCAGCTCGTTTACCATCTTGACATAAAATTTACGTCTATTGACAATTTCTTTCAATGAAAGCTTGCGAAGAAGACAGAATAATGTATCCGCTTGCTTGTTTAATTTCAAAAGTGTTAATTTGCGTTTTGAACTATCTCCATTAAAGTTTTTGTGGCGTGAAGATGTCTTCAACATACAGAAGAAGGCAAAAGGAAAACACACAAATGTTCGCATTTAAAATATTAGGGAGATTAAATACGATATACGTATTTACCGCCGCGATTAGCAAACGCGACGGGATGGCTTCGTAGCAAGAACCCTAAGATATTTCTGCGTGGAATCCTTTCAGCGCCTTCCTTTAAGGGCTCGGAAGGCAGAAGGGCGCCGCGTAGGGTCACTCAACCTCGGCGGTCAAGCCGCCCTTCCGCCCAATTGAATCCACTTCCCGTCGGGACCAACGTGGGAGCCACGTGAATAATTCAGAGCCGCCGATACGTTTGCATAGGAATGTGTAATCCTGTTATATTCTCAAGTCCAAGCTACTTCAAGTGCCGATTTGACGCGCGCAGTGAATTTTTGTTACATTAATAAATTATTATGTATTAAATTAATATAATAAATTAGTCACTTTTCGAGAAATTAAAAGTTTCTAGCTAATATGTTACAATGCAAATGTTTGCATAGTTCGGTTAATCTGGATTAAGTTAAATTGCCTTTAGGTTGCTTTTATCGTGAATCACGATTCGTGATATTATATGATGTGTAGGTACACAAAATTGAAACAAGACATGTATTATGGGTAGCGACAAAATTAATTTCAATCTAACTACGTTATGTACGTACTTTACAGAAGGTTTTGATACTATGTTATGACGGATATATTTGTCTCTAAATTGTGCTCATTCTTATTTTAATTTGTTGTGCATATAACAGCATGGCAGCAAAAACATTATTACTAGCAGTCAAATATAGCCCATGATTTACGTTTTTTTTATCATTGATATTTTACCCATTGAGGTACAAAAAGCTTAAATTTTTTTAAACAACTTTCGGAGTCATATCCTCTTCTAAATGTAAATCGACGGGAACCTATTGAAAGCAATCCACACCCTAAAGCATGTGTGATATTCACCCGAAGGAAATTTCAATAAAACTCAACCAATTTCCCACCCTCGAGTTCGCTCAATTTGGGGTGTCCAGTGCGTTAAGAAGCCAGCTCACTTGTTTCCAACATATGGGGCAAATCGTCCGAAGGGTGTGCTACTGACCCCAAATTTACGGATGCGTTCAACCCATGCTTTATTGCTGGGACGTTAAGAGCTCTTTCGCCGTGTTTATGGCGATCGTTTAATACGGTACTCGTGCATTTTTGAACACGGGAAAGTTCCGATATCCGCACCGGACTAGCGTTGATTTTTATTGGGCAACAAGGGTCCCGTCGTGTTAACCGCGATTTGGGACGCGCGAAAAGTTTGGCCAAACAATGCGCGGGGGTGCAAATATGGGTCGGTTGTTTGCCTGTTTGATTTGAAAGGCGAGAGGTTGTGATGACTTTTCATCTTCTTGTTACCGCGGAATTCATGTCCGCTGTGGATTTGGGCCTTGTTGTGCGTTGTTTTATTTCGTGAATTAGGTCTCACTTTTCTGGTACTTAAAAAAATAGTATCTCTTTAGTTCAATTGCCACTTTTTTATTTTTGTTTTTAATGCTAGTCCGCACTTTAATTTTGCGCATTTTAGCACGACGTTGTTTTATTTTTAATTTCCTAGTTTCGAACGCGTTACAAAATCCACGGTCACGATAGACAGCGAGAAAATGGTTTTATTATATTTAGCGTAAATACAAAATTTTCAATTCAATGCAATATTCCGTTACTCGTAGTTAAAACTAGAAGGTAACTAAGCCGTGTTGACTCGGAGAAAGTAAGTTCTAATCACCAGGATTTTAAATCTCAGTATAAGACAAAGTCGTCCCGCTGTCTGTCTGTCCCTATGTGCTTAAATCTTTACAACGATTACGATTCTGATGCGGTTCTTTTACTCGACAGAGTGATTCAAGAGGAAGGTTTATGTGTATAATACATTGTACTCGTGCGAAGCCGGGGCGGGTCGCTTAGTTTAAAATAAACTGAAGTAAAAACTCATTACGTTTTAATGTGAGCGTAGCCGCTAATATTTTTGTGAAATCGGGATTTATCGAGAAGTATTGCTATTGCGGATAACCGCTGCCCGTTAAAAACATTTTGTTTTAGTACATTCCTAAAGTGATGTTCCAGAAAAAGACGAGAAACTTTATGCATGCAGCTTTTAAATTAACAAGAAGGGATGTTAAGCCACTGCCACACCTGGTGCTCTGCAGCGGCACAAAGACATCGATGCAATGATCGATCGTGTCATTTGGCACGCACCATCGGTCAACGGAGATTTGCACAAAATCGATTTAGTGTGGAACCATCCTTATCATCGATGTCGATGCATTTGTAATTTTTTGCACACAACAAGTACATCCTGGTTATTATTTATGTTTGTTTTTGTAGAAAATTGAAGAGTGAAATGGTTTATTAAAAAGTATTAATGAAATATTCATTCGATATCATGTCACATTGTTTGCAATCTTTGATACGCGAGACAAATGTAAGGTAACACTAAACTTTTGTATACGCTCGGCAGGCGCACTCGCTGAGTGGTACGATTACCCGGTCGTGGGTACGATATACCAATACTTTTTTGTCTGACCTTCAGATAGTCATTCCGGATCTGGGTGCCTGTCCTTGTAGAAGTACAAATTTGTACTTATCTTTAATCAATCAAGAAATCTGTAGTGCAATCAACTAATCTGTACTTACCAGGATTATCTTATTGTACAGATATCAAAAAATGCTCATTCTGGTATCATATATCGATAATAAATACACACCTCTTCGAACGTCACTAGTTGCGAGTGACAAGCTTAATACGTATTATTGACCCAATGATCAATGATCCACGGCTATTTAGATCAATAAAATTATGCAAAATCATCGTTCTTATTGTGTTTCGTTTTTATGGTGACTATTTTATTTTATTCTTCCCAATTTTGCGTACTTTGTAGCTAGTATTATTTACGTATAATAGTTTTGTTGCACGATTTTTGCAGTTGTTACGGTTTGCACGGTCATTGTTATAACGGCTATCTGATTAAATGTTACGAAAACCACAACATTAATTTGGTAATACTATCTATGATTGACGTTCAGAAGTCTTTGTTATAAGAGTACGATAGCAGATGCTTTGAGGTATTATTTATTAATTTTCTACAATTGAACCTTAAATAGTATATATAAGTACGTAGTCGAGGGAAAATATTTCGAATTTTGAATACTATGCTGTATGCATAGTCGTCTTTCATTGAGCGATTTTATAAAATTATGGTAAATTATGTTAGCTTAAATAATTTCCATTGTTTTCTCGCATTATGCAATCGTGTTGAGATTGTTTAGCAATCGAGTTTTTCACATAAAAACTCAATGATTTTACAAATTCGAAGAATGTGCGCTTGTCCGAATGAGCGTAATGTATTCGAAACGCTAAAATAAGACATTTGCCCTCACCGCTACCAGGAGAGCAGACAAAGAATGTTTGTCTATTTGCATAAGGGAGCTGTGAGTAACGCATGCCCCTGCGTTTGTTGCCCGGCGCGATGACCGTCGGACACGCGGACGGACACGCGGCTGCGTTTGTGTGTGTTCGCGTATTTCGCTGGCTCGCCGCCAGTGGACGTCCACTTTGGGAGTGCGCGCTGTTTTATTTGGCGTCGAAATGTTCAGCGCTTGACGCTTTACCGAGGAATGTATCCGAATACGTTGCTACGTGTAAAGTTTTTCCTTTTTACGCTTGATGTATTGTCGAGATTATGGGGTCGAGTTTCCCGCTCGGGACTCGTGTTGCTTGTAGGGTTTTATATTTGAATACATAACGGATTGATTGATCTCCTAAAATGTTGTGTTATGGGTAATCGGAAAGTGCAAGCGAGCTAGCTGTTCACCTGATGTTAAGAGATAACCGCCGCCCATGGTCATTTGTAACATCTGTATTTTAATAAAGTGGGCATTAGCTATCTCACACACCCGACGCAACGCAGAGGTATAACATTTCCTATTCACGTCGGTACGGTCTTCTGTGTGGTGGTGGTACTTACCCGGATTGATCTGATCTGAAGACTGTTGCGTAGCCCTACCTACTCTGAAATAAAATAAATACAATTTTGGAAATAAAATTACCCTTAATTTACAAATAAAAACATTTTATTTGTATTTTTTTTAGAAATTTAAATTGTTTATAGTGCTAATCTTTGCACTTAAGATTGAACATTAAAATATGTAGAAAAAGTGCGAAAAGATTGTCGCCGCTGTGAGAATCGAACCCACGTCTTCGGCATTCGCGGCCTGACGCTCTAGCCACTGAGCTAAACGGCTGATTACCACACCGACGAAAATCTTAACGCATTCCTCAACATTGTTTTCTTAGCATTTGAAGCAATGCTTGGCGCCATCTATTGTTATAACATATATTTTAATGTTCAATCTTAAGTGCAAAGATTAGCACTATAAACAATTTAAATTTCTAAAAAAAAAAAGCAATGGCGACATCTCTCGTTTGAATTATCGTTGTAAAACGATATTCGAAATTGTTTGTATGCTGGAAAGGATATAACAGTAGATGGCACCAAGCATTGCTTCAAATGCTAAGAAAACAATGTTGAGGAATGCGTTAAGATTTTCGTTGGTGTGGTAATCAGCCGTTTAGCTCAGTGGCTAGAGCGTCAGGCCGCGAATGCCGAAGACGTGGGTTCGATTCTCACAGCGGCGACAATCTTTTCGCACTTTTTCTACATATTTTAATGTTCAATCTTAAGTGCAAAGATTAGCACAATAAACAATTTAAATTTCTAAAAAAAAAAAGCAATGGCGACATCTCTCGTTTGAATTATCGTTGTAAAACGATATTCGAAATTGTTTGTATGCTGGAAAGGATATAACAATAGATGGCGCCAAGCATTGCTTCAAATGCTAAGAAAACAATGTTGAGGAATGGGTTAAGATTTTCGTCGGTGTGGTAATCAGCCGTTTAGCTCAGTGGCTAGAGCGTCAGGCCGCGAATGCCGAAGACGTGGGTTCGATTCTCACAGCGGCGACAATCTTTTCGCACTTTTTCTACATATTTTAATTTTATTTGTATTTGTATAACTGATGTTACGCTTTCAGTCCTTAGACTATTAAAACTTCATTTGACGCAGCACCGGTGGGCTAGCCAGATCCCACGGGTTTGGGCCCTCCGCTGTAGGTAGGGCCAATTTTAATTGTGTAACGTTTAGTTGTTTATGTTATATTAAAGGTTATTTTTTTAATTTAAATATTAGAATTCAAAACTCGAAACGTTATTTCAACTCAAACAATTTTCGAATCCGTAATATTGTTGGAAACAGGTCGTAAGTAAACAGGAAAACTCATTCGCTGGCTTCCTTAATTTACGCGGAGAAAACGTAAATACGTTGACCGTACGCAAACAAAGTGCATTAACTCGTCCGAAATTTTATTTCGAGTAACACCATTAATATAAGGAATTTGGCCGGCGGCCGCATCGGCGGAACGTTTGCCCGTATCTCCTGTCTTTGTTCGCCGTTTGACCAGTTTATTTTTACATCAATTATACACTGTTAATGCTGAAGATGTGTGTTTTGATGTTTCACGGTTGCTCGGAATAATTTGTTATTGTTGCAATCTTAAAAAATTTCGGAATTGTGATAAGGGTCACGTTAGTCATAATAGATATCGCAATTGCCATAATGAAGAAGATGAACAAAAAGAAAAGTGAAACAGCGATTATGCTCTTCAGATTATTGGAGGTGGGTTTACTGGGCCCTCTTCTATATTTCAATGGTCATATGATTCGTTTCGTATTGTGTCCCAAAAATGATGAATTATTTTTTTAATTGAGTAGCGCTAGAGTAAATTATTTTTAAAAATGTCTTGCACTAAGAATCGAATAAAGCATCATGATTACTTTTCATTTTCGAGAGTACTCGTGGGCAATCGATTAAAGCGTTAGGGCCTTCTAATAAAGCAAACTGCATTTACAGTGGCCACGCAACAGTCTTCCCTATACGAATGGGCAGGCCCATCCGGGTAAGTACCACGACGACACATAAGACGCGAGTGAAGTGGAAGTGTTAAACTTTATTTATTTATTTATTTATTACACTTACTCACACAACTATCATTACAGGCTGACCCAATGCGATAGTGTTGACAAAAAATATAAAATAGTCGAAAGAAAATATAAAAAATAAAAGCTAAACTTCTGAGTTTCGTCAGGTGAGTTAGTTAACCGGCCACTTATTAAAAGATTGCAACGCATTTGCAACCCTACGGGTGCTAATCTCAACGGGCGGCGGTTATCACTTAACATCAGCCTTTTCACATAAAAAATGTGCGCTTTGTTTTTATCAATACTTCTCCGATGAACCGTTAGCAGATATTAACGTCTATCAGCCCTACATCGTATAAGATTAAGTTAATGCGTGCGTTCACGACCTCAAGTTCGAGAGCGTCGCGGCAAAAAGTCGTGAACTATCTCCGCGGGAATGCGGGTATCGTCCGCGAAGACCGAAACTACAGTAAGCAGCGCAAAGAGGGCATCGCCGATGCTGGATACCGTGCGATAGTAAATTCACTTATCGGCACCCGGCCCATCTCAGAGCGGGAGCTTAGTGTGGATGGGAATTTTCGTTATTTCATCGTGGAATGGCTCGTCTACGGATGGCTATCCGAGCGGCTGAATTGCTTTTCTTGGCTTTTGCTTGCTTCACATTTCCATGTAATGATGGCTATGAATGTGAAGAGTGTATGTAAATAGGCTGACTTAGTAACACCCTATTCAATATCTCGTTAGATAGCTGATTATTTTTTTTAAACTGAATTGTATCAAGAAAGCTATTTTATTATTTTTTTTAATTAAAGATTATACAATTCACAATACATATAAACAAAATTTTACGCGATTATTTTCACCTTTAATATTCCATATTTTGAATACTCTACCAAATATAGCGATAATATAGGCAAAATAATTATGGTTAATATTATCATTTATACTTTAAATAAAATAAGTTTTAACTATATATTTTAACACATATTCTTGGGCATGAACCTATTATAGGATTTTGTCAAACCCTATAATACTGAGACGGTGCTCGGACTACAAAAAATCCAAGAGCAAAGATGTATTTGCATGTACAGCAAAGCAATGCAAAACACAGATATAATCTTATTCGACTACAATCATAAGTAAGACAAAAATTGAAAACGATACAATATTGTGGAGAAATTGAAATATTTTCATTTAAAAGACCTTCCAGAACACGATTTACGAGTCTATTCCACACGACGCCACTGTGCGTTGGGAAGCTTAAGGTGGACCCCAAATTTAACTCGCACGAGCATACGGGTCCGTGGCTAGATTGAAAAGTTTCTCGCGAAGTTTAAACTTTTCCGTAACCGCCCCAAGTTACAGTCCTCACTTGACAAGTCCGCGTGGCGAAGTTCGAAAGCCCTTTCTATACTTCGCCCTTTGTTTAGAATTAATTGCAATCTTTCGGCTCTGCGAGTTATTGATTTCCTTGAATATGGGTCTCTACGTGTTTACGTGTTTTTTATATTGTTATGCCTTCTCGTAGATTTAAGTTTAGTTTATGTTTCTATTTAGATTTTGTTAAGGTTTATCACCGACTTGTTTTTATTTTCAAGTACGCGTAACTGGGGCTGTAAATGTATAAAAAGAAGAAAACCGCGTAGTATTAAATGTAACTTATATAGTGAATGTAAACATTTTATCAAATGTCACTTTCCAGCAGACCTCACATATTTATTAATTATGGAATAAAATGAACTATTACTTAGTTTAATTAACTCTAAAATCTTCTAAATAATATTTCTGAAAATAATGTAATTGGGTCAAACATTTCTCATGGAAATCAGTGGTTGCCAGTAGTATTTCTGGATCAATATCAGGTCTAAAGGCCTTTCAAGAAAAGAGCTTACTGTTATCAAAAAGGTGGCAATGTACATTGGTAGCGACGGTCGCTTACTGGTGTTAAGTTTTTAAGTCAAGTTTGGCTTCGGGGTCAAAAATAGAAACATAATTAAAGAAAGGTAACTTTTCTCTTAGCCCAGTTAGTAGTGAAACGGATAATTAAAAAAGTGTTTCTTAAGGATCTTTTCATAAAAGTAAATTACCAGCCTATACAAACCCGCTGGGCAAGGCCTCCTTGCCTGTCTTTACAGGGCATTTTTGTATAGCCCAACACGGGACCCCACTGTGGATTGGCAAAATTCAATGCCAAAGCCATTCAAGAATTCAGTGTCAATAGCGCAGGCACGCTAAAATATTTATAAACCGAAAAGCTTAAATCAAATCATTAAATGAGTGTAACAAAAGAATAAAAGTCAAATGTATGACGAAAAATTATTTTTGAAGTTGAAAGGAGGATAATAGTTGTGGGGCAAAAGCAAGACCAGACAACGCAGCTGGAATTCATGTCACCGTATTGTTGTCTTTAGCATCGCTAATATAAGCAGCAACGTACGATAGATCAAAACACAATTTGTAGTGCGAGGTATGTTTAGACAACCTTACACTAATTGCTGGTTGGGGAATAACAGGAGGCCGCACTGCATTCATTACCATAAACCTAATTTTGCGGAGTACATAGTTTGTTGTTAACTATCAATTTATATAGACAAGTTGGATAATCTGAGGTATAGAAACCAAACCTTATAGCATGATATCACTTTTTAATATATCCATTTATAATAAGTTGGGTTGCCCCGGATGCGTGGGCGAAAAAAAAAATGTGATTTCGTGTTTCGAATGGGTATACTGACTATGTAAACGGCGGATATACTCTATTCACAATCTACAACGCTCACTGACAATAGTTCCTGTTGAAAATTCTTGTTACAGATTCGTATATGAATATTCTGTTTTGTAAATGAGATATTGCTTTTATGTGCATAAATTTAAAGATTTGAATTAGTAAAAACAAAACTTTTAGAAGATTGAAGCTACAGATAATTAAGATAGAATTAGGTAGCAGTTTCAGATCATTAGCCAGGTAAAGCAATGGAAGTCTTACGCCCCTGTAAACGATGATATTATAAATTTTATCATTCTCCAATACAAGTGTAGATAGATAATTTAAAGGCCCATATCATATAACTTAAGTTTTAATCAAAAGATATAACAATGAAGAAATTAAGATAATTTTAGCTTATAATATAATTTCATAGTAGTAATTTTATCTAATTAAGCTCGTACAACGGCGAGTTACAATCTTGAATTCTGATCAAAATAATAACATCGCTATGTTACATTACACAATTAGTGGCCAAACTGCAGTGTAAGCTTTTTAGATTACACGTTACTACACGAATGTGATTGGCTGAGGTTCAGAAAACCACTAAATATTGTCACAATTAAATTACTGCTGTAATGACCATCATTTTATTACATTAGGAAATTATGTCGTGGTTTACTTAATTTTTCCTATGTAATATTTATAACCGGATATTGTCTCCCTTTCAACTTACTTCGAAAAACGTTTGTTACTTCAAAACTCCGTCATTTACAAAACCGATTTCAAAAATTATTTTTGAGGGGGTTTCGGTTTAGGTCCTAATTTGGTCTCATGTTAATTTCATTGACACTGCATCTTGAACTCCGAAGATAAATTAAAAAATCACTCTTTTTAGTGAGATGTTTAAAATATTTTTTTTTTGTTAATAAATTTTTGTTTTTCAGATATTACCCCGCTGTAGAATAGGATTATGATTACAATTTTAGCATACTGAGAGCAAAGTCTTTCACATTAGTCGAAAATCTTGGATCAGTTGCATTCAGGCTCTGAAAAACATTTTTAAACCACGCAAAGATTCCAAATTGCACCATAAGTTTTACAAAGAAAAATACCTAGATTAAAATAATTTTCCTTACTATCAATCGAATGGATAGATTAAATATCTGTCCATTCGATTTAATAAAAATTTTCCCATTCTATTTAAAAAAAGTCAAAGTTTAATGAAATAATAATGATAAGAGTAACAGCTTTGTTTTCCTTGACTGGGTCAACCACTGTTGGCCTTGACGCAACGTAAGTTCACGGACAAAAAAATAGTATTTTCTTCTCCTGCACCTAGCTAGAAATTCTAGATGTAGTGCTATCTATTATTACTTCACGGTTCTTTCTCTTTCAAAGTTAACCTCAGATATGTACTTCACTTATAGAATGCAAAACTTATTAGTTTTTAAGAAGATTTTAGAACTGAAATTGAGTTCCGCTTCTTGGGTGCTTTGACCTCGGTCCACGCGGCTGTCAAGGCTTTAGCACGGCCTGAAACTGTGCACATTAAAACATTATTCAAGGCGGTCATTATCATAATAAATGTTAATAAAGTCACCGCACATGCGCATTAGCCACTCGTAAATCATTTGGGTTCGCTATTGGTTTTAAACCTCGGCCTGTATCAATTATGGTGCGGACTATGGCGAGAGGTTAAACTGCACGGAGGTGCGTAATGTTGCTCTACTTTGAGGGCGCATCAATCATTATTCGCGAACAAAATTCGCTACTATGAGTAGATATACTGTTTTTTTATGTGAGAACGTGGCAATCGTGCTGGCGGTTCACCTGATGTTAAGTGATAACCGCTGCCCATGGACGTTTGCAACAGTTGCGTTGGCTACCTGACTCACCAGAAAAACAGAAATGTAAGGATCGAAAGTATTCGCTTTAAGAATTAATACATGGGAGAGAGATGCAAGAAAGCAACGTACAATTTCACTAAGAAAATAAAATACATATTTATTTCTACATATTTTAAATATTTTAAAATAATTATTTCTACATATTTTAAAATAAAATACATCTAATATCAATAAAAATATTTTTCTAATAGGCCTTTCATAAGGAAACCTTACATCAACTACTATATATTTCTATATATTTCTCTTTATATAATTATATGTATTAAAATATTTTATCATTGTATTATAGATTTTTCGTTTATCAATGAAACTAATTTTACGGATTTATCGCGTTTACAGTCACGGGACAGTCTGTCCCGTGAAAATGAACGCTGTAAAGGGTTCGAAACGTCGGGAATTAAAATTAAAAATAAACGCGATAAATCCGTTTACTTTCATTTATAATGTGTAATCGCGTAAATACAAGAAATTTTTCGTTTATCGTTTACGAAAATTGTTAACAAGGTATAGCATATCATCTACGTGTGAAATATGTTATAAGGACTTTTTGATATGGAATTATCAAGTGAAGCATCTTCCCGTGTGCCCTTTGTTGCGGGCGTGCATAATCGACGGGACGGATAACTCTCGCCCACGTGTGATTGTCCCACAGGACTCCGGCCATGTCCCACGTGCGGTGTACTCGCGAATTTCAACCTCTAAAGCGATCCTTGCATGAATATTAACCGTTAACAAAGCCCCATTATGATTTAAAGTATTAGGATTTTGTATGAATTTAGAATAAAGACACAAACTCCTTCGTGAACAGGAATCTATATTAATTCGGTAGAACTTGATTTATTGATCCAGTGGCCTAAAGTTGCGCTTCGTAAATGTGTAGATATTATAATATATCTACACAGTAGATTATATCAAATATATATTATCTACATATTAAAGATACAGATTATTTAATATGAAATGTATTTTTTGTTTAATTTTGGCTTTCCTGAAGCTGACATGTCAAAATATTCCATCACGTTGTAACTATCTTGTATTATCTAATGTTTGTGCTTCCAGTCCCGAGACTATTAAAGCTTCATCTGACGCAGAACCGGTGGGCTAGCCAGAATCCACGGGTTTGGGCCCTTCGCTGTGGGTAGAGCCGCGCATGTGCTCATGCGTGCGTTTAACTACGGCATGTGATCTAAGTGCCATCGAGGTTGCGGTGCGGACCGAGACCCCGATGGCCGTCGACTGTGTTTTTAGCTAATCGGTGGCTGGGGGCGGTGAGAACCGCCCTGGAACGCGGGTGTACCTTGTGTACGCGTTGTGTTGGTCTCGTCGTGCTCGTAGGCGAGGGCGAATTAATGTGTTTGTTGCTGCACTAACTGTGTGTGTAGTTTTATCCGGCGGGACTCCCTATGATGGGTCCGACGTAGCTAAGTCCCCTTCCTCGACCGGGTAGATGAGGACGTTTCGCGGGCGACGCTTGTTGATGTTCGCGTTTGGATCGGGTTGATAATTTGCTGCACTTACTGTTGTGACTATGGTAGGGCCATGCATAATTTAGTTGGTATCACTTAAAATCTTAAGTGATAACCCAACTTAAACCCTAAATTAATTAGTTGTTCGTTATTCCATAACAATACGCGCTTTGAAGTTATAACAGCAAAGGGTAAATGTTGTGAGGGAAGGGAAATCTAAAAAAATATTAAAATAAGAATTTTAAAGATATGGCAATCTGCGAAACCGCACTGAAGTCGCGTGGTATGCTCTAACACGCGTTTGCAGGAAACCTTTTCCTAGCGATATATTGTTGTGTCATTTGTAAGAGGACATCTTTGCCTGTATATTGTTGTGCTATTTATATTATTATAAGCACATAACCAGGCTACTGTTGAACTTAAACGGCGATTAAACGCAAGTAATCAGGGTACGTTGGTACATCACGATTCGGCGCGCTGGGTGCAACGGACGAGCCGATTAGGGCCGCAGAAGGCCGACGTCGTTATCGGTCAGTCGGCGACCTTTGCGAAGACGCCTCGCTCCACGACCCGAGTCGCAAGCTGATGCGCAGTATGTGCGCGATTGTACCCGCCAGGGACTGATTTGGTGACTTTGGACAGTGCTGGAGCTTAAAAAACACCAAATGGACAGTCGACATCGACCGCGTATTGGAATCCGTTACTGTGGATAGATGAACCTATTTTCAAAGAGGTTGCGTCGTCCATAACTCAATAATATTGATTCTTAAGTTGAAAGGTAAAGAAAGAGTGTGTTACATACAACTTCCTCTTGCTCTCTTTTAAAATTTGGAAATTTACAATTTAGTTTATTATTCTTAAGAGTGAAAATGTGTTTAGTTCAAAACGTAAGTTAAGAATTTATGGTAGTTATTTAGTTCATAATTTAAATTGTTAATGCAAAATTACACTTGATACTAATTTGTTAGGAAATGTTTCAGTAATTAACTTAGACACTAACATAATTTATAACATGGCACCTTGCTCTTGTCCAGTAATGTTAATATAACTCTTAAATAAGGAATAAAAACATGCATAATTTAAATCAAAGTAATTCCTGTATTTGAAATAATTTTGATCCGCAATCACAGAAGCGTGATTTTTTTAGTATCCGTGTATATTATGCGTTTTACTTATTTTCAAACACATACCAACAAGAAACGCATAAGATTCGGCTTATTACTTGACAAGTGTAAAAAGTTTACTCATTATTATTCAACAACCGCGTGTTGTGTTGCGTTCGCCACATCATTATATGTGACAAAAAAAGCAAGATTCCGTCGTTAAATTATTATATTATATTTTTCGTCAATAAATTACGATACCTAATGGAACAAAACCTTGAGATTAGCCCGATTTAAAAGTTTCAATTTATTAAAAAAATCGTTCGATAATTTCTATTTATAAATTAGTATAAAATAAGCGAAATAAATAATATTGAATATTTATTTATTGTTCTACTCGTACACCATTAAGGTCTTGAAATCGGAGGAATTTAAATAAAAATAAAAGTATATTCCTTAACTTAAAAGAAAACAAAAAACGACTTTATTCTATCGCTATTTAGTTTGTCGTCGCAATTATCGGTCAGGGTAACGACACAAATCGCTGCAGTATCGATCCTCGGTGTCCCACGGATAACGGTGCCGGCGTCCGGGATGGTGACATTTCGCGAGGCGCGCCGGCCGCTTGACCTATAGTCCTATACACATATACTTATGACGTTTCTTCCGTCAGAAAAAATCTGAGTTACTCCCTCTACTCCCCTAGTCGCGCCTAAAGAAGTTTTACTTCAAAATATTTCAAAAATATGTGAAGTCCGCCAAACCGTGGGGCCGCGTGGTGATATATGCCCTAATACCTTATATACAGAGGAGGCCTTTGGCTTGCAGTGGGACATGTATAGGCTGTTACTTTACTTTAATTTTTCAATTATATGTTTCTGAATTGTATTCTTAAATCAACGTTCGGATTCTTTAATATTAATTTAATACAGGCGTTGGGTTACAACTCCTTTACTGTACGGTAATTAAATTACTGTGTCTCTTATCGCGAAATAAGTCCTCCGCTATCATAATGTACACTGATATTCGCCAATTGGAGACATGTAATAGAGAATGTATGCATACGGTGTCAAAACACTGTTCCGCACAAATTAAGTTCCCGTTATAGCCGCACATTTGAATATACCGCACTGGCCACACAATAGCCGCTGGTCGCGTATTCTGGATTAGATGGTTCCTACTCAGATAGCCTTCTATGAAGATTTATTGCCCCGATGCGCTTATTGAATTTTAATGGTCATTATTTACCATTGTCCCTCTAATGTTTACAAATTCAGATTTGCCCGCTCTAAGTATATTATTCATAAGGTATTCCGTCTTCGGTGGGAACGCTTAAAGGGCGAGCGCTTCGTGAGCCGACTTTTAAATTGATGCGGATTGCTGGCCGCTCGCGAATTTAAGCTATTAAGCTATTGTATTGATCCGTTCATTTCAGGTTATGCTAAATGCCAACGGACGTTATCCTAGTCTAAGGACGGCCTGTCTACAGTTGGATTGTATAGTTTCATCAACGATGTCTTGTAGTGGTCGGAAAAGTAATTACTTATAAATGTTATTTTGTAACATTCCTGTGTTTACCTGTCCAAAGTTATTGTAAACAGATAAAAGTATAATATTACATAGGCAAACATGCACCACAACACTCTAAGAATGAGGAAAGTTATCAGTTTTAAATATTTTTTTTATTTTGCCATATTGAATATTACCGTTACAGAGCAATTAACTTCACCTTAAGTATATTTTTATTATAGTGGTCATTATTTACCATTGTCCCTCTAATGTTTACAAATTCAGATTTGCCCGCTCTAAGTATATTATTCATAAGGTATTCCGTCTTCGGTGGGAACGCTTAAAGGGCGAGCGCTTCGTGAGCCGACTTTTAAATTGATGCGGATTGCTGGCCGCTCGCGAATTTAAGCTATTAAGCTATTGTATTGATCCGTTCATTTCAGGTTATGCTAAATGCCAACGGACGTTATCCTAGTCTAAGGACGGCCTGTCTACAGTTGGATTGTATAGTTTCATCAACGATGTCTTGTAGTGGTCGGAAAAGTAATTACTTATAAATGTTATTTTGTAACATTCCTGTGTTTACCTGTCCAAAGATATTGTAAACAGATAAAAGTATAATATTACATAGGCAAACATGCACCACAACACTCTAAGAATGAGGAAAGTTATCAGTTTTAAATATTTTTTTTATTTTGCCATATTGAATATTACCGTTACAGAGCAATTAACTTCACCTTAAGTATATTTTTATTATATACAGCCGTGATAGCTCAGTGTCCGGGCGCTCGCCTTAATTCAATGTATACTCGAGCAATCTGAGTTCGATCCCCGGTGCCGGCACCAATAAAGTTTTTAACTTCAAGTGCTGAATTATCACGTGCTCCGCGGTGAAGGAAAACATCGTGAGGAAACCTGTATATTTTCGGAATAATAACAAAAAAAATGTATTTCGGAAATATGTGAAGTCAGCCAATCCGCAGTGCGGCCGCGTGGTGGACTATGCCCTGATACCCTCTGTATAGAGGAGGCCTTTGCCCAGCAGTGGGACATGTATAGGCTGTAAAAAAAATATATTTTTATTTATTTCGAATACAAAATTTGTCGTTCTTATTTTTATTTAGTTTTAAGAGGGTTTCTACTTTATTGATAAAATACTGATAAAGTCAATGGTTTATTTTAGGGTAATTTACAGATATTCTTGTAGTAGTCAGTTCAGACATATAAGTCTGGCAGTTATAAAATGGTTTACTGTTTCTTTTGGTGTAATGTTTATGGTCAATCCTATTCTGTCTCGTAACCGTAGCTATGTCGTATGTATGTTGTATGTATACATATTCGGTGGTAGGGCCATGCAACAGTGTTTGCCTTTGCACGAATGGTCAGGTCCATCCGGGTTAGTACCACGACCTCAAAGAAGACCGGCGTCAAGTAGAAGTGTTACACTTCTGCGTTTCGTCTGGGTTAGGTAGCCGGGGCCCACTTCATTAAGAAGTGGCAACGCATCTGCAACCCTACAGGTGTTGCAAATTTCCATGGGCAGGCGGTTATCACTTAACATCAGGTGAACCGCCAGCTCGTTTGCCATTTTCTCACAAAAAAATATTAACAGTAAATTCGTAGTAATTATTTGTAATTTCTGTTATACTAAGATGATTTCATTGTATGAAAATATGTTAGTATAGTGTAATTATTCCGTCAGAATTATTTAAAATATATGGACAGTTAATCAAAGAACAATTTGTTACTAATTAACGAACAATTTTGAAGTATAATGTTTCTTAAATAATAATTTTCTGTCCTTTCGGAAACCACAGGATCACTTTTGGAATTTTATATGAATATTTCCTACACGGCTATGTAATAATAATAATTTTTATTATAACATTGTGATGGTATGGCACGGCATAAGGAAGCAAATTGAGATATTGAAGAGAGCTTAGATTTATTATGATGCGTGGTTTGCGGCTGACAGAAGCTCGTTTTGCCCGCGGATTTAGTGAGGCAATAGATTGTAAATTGATGACTGTACTGACATAATAAAGGTAAAAAAATTGTTTTGATTGTTGTTGATGATTTTATAGTAATGTTCTACGAAATTACTTGAATAAGATTTTGCAGTTTACTGACAACTTAATAATATTTGTACTCTTATTTTTATTGATTGCAGATGTGTTACTAATCTTTAAAATGGTTACCTCCTCGACGAACGAAGCGCAGAAGTGTGATACCTCCACTTCCACCGATTTTCCGTGAACCGTGGTACTTGCCTGGACGAGCCTGTCCATTTGTGCAACAGCAGAAGTTGCCGTGTGGCCCTACCACAATAAATACAGAGAGGCTTTCCTACAGGTGACCAAATTCACACAGGAGGTCCAGACTCGGTAGTACAATCGTTTATGGAAATAAAAAAAACTTTTTTTTCTTCTTTTTCAAAAAAAAAATTGCAAATCTATTCCCTAAAAAACAGAACTTGTTGACAATGCGGTAGTCATTCATAAATGCGTCGCATACTTTTGAAACGAACTTGTGTGCGTGTTAGTTATGAATGATCGCGCGTAAAATAAATGAGTTGCCCATAGCTCAAGCACTTTTTGTAGCAGCACATTTGTGACATTTGTATCAGCTTCAAATCGGTCACTCCTGAGATAATTATATAACGATATGAGAGTTATTTTAGAAGCAGAGAAAAGAACACGAAGAAGAGTACTTGCTTTAGTTTACTCTGTAATAGCTTAAAGACATTTGCGTTTTTCCTTTCGAAAAAGCATCAGTACGATTTGCTGTTCGTTTAACATGCGACGTGCAAGGTTAGACCAGCACACGTTCCGATCCCAACGGGTCAACGAAGCTGAGGTGAAGGGTCAGTGCCGGTACGGGCCAATGCCGTATTGTTATGTACACCTCGTGACGTGCATGGAGGTTTTTTGTCAACGCTTCCTAACCGTCCCTCCTCCTTTGACCTCTGTCACTGCAAATAACAAGAGGAAATTTTTTCGGCACATGATAAGTATTCACTAAATATTGCCTCGCTCGTAATTTTTACCAGTGCCAGCGATGGGAAGAAAATTAATCGAAGATACATGATGAAGTGATGAGTAGCATGGTTATGTATGATATGAATGTACTTTTGTATCTTTCTTTAAAGTGTTCTGTTGCTAAAACAGATAGATGGATTATAATGTACTAGCTGCTGCCCACGACTACGTCTGCGTAGAATGGGCTGAAGGTTAAATAGTTAATTAACGGTGGTAGGGCCACACAGCAGCCTCGGCTGTTGCGCGAATGGGCAAGATCGTCCGGGTAAGTACCACGACCTCACAGAAGACCGGAAGTATAATACTTTCGCGTTTCGTCTGGCGAGTGAGGTAGCCGGAGCCCAATTTTCAAAAGGGTGTCAACGCATCTGCAAACTCTTGGGTGTAGCAGATGTCCATGGGCGGTGGTATTCACTTAACATCAGGTGAACCACCTGTTCGTTTGGCAACTTTTAACATAAAAAAAAATATTAAGACAGAAATACAGATACACATAAAATATGTATATAAATTATACCCAATGTCTTATTCTGATGTATAAGCTATATGATTGTGAAGTTTCATTAAAATCCGTTCAGTAGTATTTGCGTTAAAGAGTAACAAACATCCATCCATACATACAAACTTTCGCCTGTATAATATTAGTATAGTAAGGATTAATAGCTTCATCTTTGAATTTGTATTTTATTATTTTATCGATACATGTGTAAATTTAAGGCTATACTTAATAATGTAAGAGAGTCGGAGGGCTTTAGATAAGAAAAATCCCTCACTCACAACACGGTTATATCCAGGGGCATGTTTTTTTATGTGAGAAGGTGGCAAACGAGCTGGCGGTTCACCTGATGTACCCTGATAACCACTGCCCACAGCTGAAAGATTGCGGATGCGTTGCCACCTTTTAATAAAGTGGGCCCCGGCTATTTCACTCACCCAACGAAACGCATAAATATAGCATTTCCAATTCACGTCAGTTTTCAGTGAGGTCAAGATACTTACCCAGACGGTCCTGCCTATTCGTACAACATAGAAGACTGCATGGCTCTACCACAGTGTAACAATTGGGTAGTGATAGATAGATAGTAAGAGATGAAATGCAAAAGTATAAATATATCTATCACCTATCGATAGTAGAGGTATAGTAAAGGCTCATAATTTTGTAGACCGCAAACGAATAGATATAATATCATGTTGTAATGATCAACGCACATCGGTCCATTGACGAACATCTGATAGATTTTCCAGACTAAATTAGGCTAAAGAAACAAACCGGCCCCTTTGTGCTTGTTCTCTTTATGATCGTTGTCACTTGGCACATAAAAGGCCTTTTAGAAGTCTGAAGCGAAACTATCCGCCAAAGGCGTTGTCACGTTGGCTAGATGTGGGTTGACAACGGGAAAGTCGATTGTTTGCCTGTCATTGCGATGTGGATGTAACAATTTAATGGCGTAGCGTGGCACCGGTAGACGGATTGTTGATTACAGCCTTTTTTTTAAAACTTCAATCATGTGCATTGCCATCTGCAGTTGGAGATTTTAAATTTTCTCCATTTTGTAATTAATTTTTCACTTTTCTTTTAATATTAATTTTTGGATATGTATCTACGTGTAATACGTGTATTAAACGTAGATAGGAAGGCGCTATGTTATATTTTTAAAGATAAAATTAAATTAAAGCAGTTTAACGTGTTAAATTACAAAAACTTCTATTGCATGCATTTTTTGATATTATTGAAGAGTAATTAGCCCGAAAGGTCATTTCTTTATTAATACTTACATTTATTAGACATATTAAAAACTAGAAATTCTGAACTTTTGTTAGCTTAGGCTTGAAAAGTTAAGTTAGTTCTTCTCGCCAATACCAAATATGTTTCTGAACATTGGTCATTGTACAATGCATTTTATTAGTGTTCATTTATTATTTTATTAATTATTAACTGGAACTCATTGAACCTGTTTAATATTACAAGTGTCGAAATGTCATCTGTCAGATTAAGCAGATTATATTAATAGTCACCCTTATCAGGTAGGTGTGTAATCAGTCAGTAGAATGAATGAATCTTGTTCATTCAGAAAATATGACATTTTTGTCTATTTCTAGAAGAAAATGAATTAGTTATTAAAATGTCTACTTACATTATTAAGAGGCAATGGAAAAAGCAATTTCGGGGACAGACGTTGGAATGGAAAAAGCAGTTTCAAAACGTTTTCCAGTACTCTCCCTAGTGTAATCGTTTATGAATACAAAGTAGCACGATAAGAATACGTGGTCGTTATTAGTTAGCAATATGCGTTGATGTCATTAGCAATCATCCCGTCTCACATTAATTGCGAACGTTCGATCCAAGATGGCGACAGCAATTTGTCATTTCGCGCGCTATCGCTGCGTAGTCACGGCGGTACACGGAAGGCTGGGTTCGGAAGTGCACGTCTCCCGCGTTGCCTCGCCGGCCATGAGAACTGATGCTATCTGCGTCCCGCTCGCGCACACGTCTTCGCATTTGATCTCGATGATAGGTAGTGTGCCCCGCACTCGGTCATAGGGCTACCAGAGACAAGTACATGAGCCAAAGATATTATTAAGAACATCATTGGGAAATAAGGTTTTGCTGGAGCAACATTTCGGCATCTCTATGTAGGTACTGGTATCGGAATATTCTTTAACGATGAGGATGTTTAAAACTCTATGCTTGTACTTAATGAAAACTTATTATTAAAACATAATTATTTATAGTCTTCACGACTTACCGTTTTTTTTTTAAATTTATAATATAATATTCATTTTGGAAAGCTGTACATTCAAACATCGAATCATTCGAGGTTGCAGGAAGTTAAAACAATATTTTATATTTTGATATTGATAACCCTAACCGGCGAAGTTTATGAGATTCGCTTTTAGTGCCACTTGTCAATTTTTCTTTATACCATGCTAAACAATGTAATTATTGCCGTGGCTTTTCCTGTGCAAGCGTGTTGTTCTCTTTTCGCTACCTTTCTAATACTTTGCAGTATTCATGGTCACGGAACGGTGACGCGTAAGACATCATCTTATATGCTAAGTATTTGTAATTGAAATTTGATAAAATAGTTTCATTGTGTAATATGCATATAGGCACTAATTCATTGAAGAGTCAACGTGTCTGTTTGTTCTACTTCAAGTTTTGCATCTACACTGTGAATGAAACGGACGGTGGCGGGGCGCTATCTTAATTGTGAGCAAAAACGTTCTGAGCTTAATCATGAAGTACGTGCGATGCGTTATCAGCGAGTTCCCATGGTCGTGTTTACAAATGACCGTCGTGGGGTCACTGATGGTCCCGTTGATGGTCATCTCTGTCTCAGCGACAGTAAGCTCGCGCACCTAAGTGTTAAGAATTATTTGAAAGGTTTTTTTAACCATTCGTACTTCGAGTTTTTTGGCAGGCGAAATCTCTGTGATAGGGTTGGGGTTGTTTCCTCATATAAAATACTTTTGATATATACACAACAATATACTGGTGTCTTATCAATCACTTCTGTCATGATACTTTGTTTATCATAATTAACCTTTAAGTATAATAAACAAGATATCAAATTTACGTACTATTTTAGGAAAACTTAAAAAGATTATGATCTACCTTGTCCATTTCACCACACATAGCCATAGTTTGCATTCCAAGTTCTTGCACTTTTTATCAAATACTGTTATTCGGAAGCAATTATAGAAAAACTTTGTACCAGGCTACCAAAATATCATTAGTTTTGTCATTTTTTCTCGTTTACTTTAAAAAAAAATATTTTACACCTTTATACACGATGATACGTAAAGTTAAATCATACGAGGATTTTTAGCAAGGTCTGTGACAGTACAACAAGAGCATGTTAGATAAAGACCGTTTTGTATGCTTAACTCGACGATTTGACATATCATAAAGATTATTCGATCTAAAACGAGAACGAGTGATTTATTTTGGAAAATAGCACGTTTAATCTAGTAACTGGATTAATTTAAATGATCTGTAAGTTTTCTGTAAGTTCACTTGGGTCCACTTGCTATTAAATTAACCGCGATAAAGATGAAAGGTGACGATATCGCGGTAGTGGAATAAAATCGATCGTTTTGTGGAATCCCAGTTAAAATAAGGAATAATTGTTTATTAACTTGTATGATCAGTATTTAGTGTTATTAGCGATTGAACCGCTAGTTCAAACTAAACCACATGGAGGAATGAGAATAAAATAAGGTGGATGAAAATAAAAACAATAAAAAATAAACAATCAAATAGTGTAATGGTTTACTGAATCAAATTAATGAGTCCATTAATCTTCTTTAACCGTAACTTTTGGTGCAAACTTCTCAGTCACCAAGGTATAATTCTCTTCAATAAAGCAAAGCAGACATTTAATGCATTAATTATTTTTTTAACATCCTTATCTATTAACCTAAAAGTGACCATGCTATTATTCATCATTCGTATACCAGTAATTGGACAGTGACAGATGTTTACCTTCCTGTTGCCACTTTGAACCTTTGACTTAAAAATAGAGTTAAATTAGAATTAAATTAAAAAAAAAACTGTTAGTCATTTATGATAAATAATCCATATTTTACCTTCGAATTTTGTAACTAAAGAAAAACAAATGAATGGAACATTATTGCAACAATTAACATATACAGTTGCATCTAAAGTGACGATTGTCCACGTACCCGGTGTTAAAGGTAAAAGTTGTGAAGGAATTTGAAAACTTATGAAATATATTTAGGTAATGGGAAAAACAATGCAATATATTCACAAAATAGGAAAAATCTTTTTTTTAATAATAATCTACGAAATCTGGAAGAAAACGCCTTAATAATAATAATAAACGCCTTAATAAGTGGAAATCGAACAAGGACAGATAATATATGCATAATTATTTAAAAGTGTCTCTCAATTGATTACCGAAGTTGTGTTGTAATCATTATCTCCTTTTGCTTTGTAAATTAATATGCAGCTGTGTGGAGTATTTTAGGCATAAGCTATATTTCGAAAGAAACGGTATATGATATATTTGGCATAAATGAGTATCGCGGTAAAAGCCGTTGAATGTTTGAACATTGTTACAGGCGTTTTTCATTTTGAGAAAAAAAAAATGATGTTGAAATCTAATATTGAAACGAAACTTAGACATTACGAATAACTTTAGACGAAACTTTCCGGATAACCTTTGCTGCTATTGCATTCGACTCGCAGTGCTAACCCATTCAATCGCCGATCATTAAAATCGATATTTCGCGCAGCCTATCCCAATCGTTGCGTTGCCTAGCCATTGTATTAGTCTCGATCGTGCCTTATTTCGATATGCATTGGTATCCGATGAGTACAATCGAAGCGGACCATGTATACGTATGAATGGCCTTCCTTCGCATGAATCTCGAACCGGCGCGTCCGTCGAACAATGGGGATTATTGACGGGGCACCAGGTCGGCCCACACTTACAAGTTAATCGCCGGCTAATGGATTCGGTTGCGTGGGTGGTGCGCCGATGTGGAGGACGAGGGTTCTCGACGATTGTGGTCCACCGCGCCCCGTTACGTGTCTGCACTTCTTTGGATCCGTTATGGTTCTCGTTGTAAATTATGTTCGTAATATTTTGCCGAAGTCAAAGATTTTTTTCCATGCTGCCTAGGCCATGCATGTGCCACTTCTGTGATTATCAAAATTCAAAATATATTTATTCACACGGAAACTTGCGCGTTCTTATGAAATGTCAAAATTTTACATAAAAATTAACACGTTCGTAAGTAAGTTACCACCGGTTCGGAAAGCAGTTTCTGTTGAGAAGAAACCGGTAAGAAACTCAACTGTTGGTCCTTTTTTAAACGATTAGTTTACAATATAATAGGACAGGTCAGTATGATTTCAGCTTACGTGAGTATCAACAGTATTAACACCACACATTGGCGTCGTCAAGATATTCCGCAATGGTATAATATGCCTTAGCCATAAGTTTACTTTAAGTAATTTTGCGTTTAAATTGATCAGGTGGCAGATTTAATATCGACTGTGGGATTTTGTTATACATGCGCTTTGTGTCCCATGAACGACCTATTTTTCTATCCCATCTGCGGACTACATCACCAGGTAGGTATTAAGTTATGGAATCCGCTCGCTTGTTGAATGATGATTCTCATATATTTGGCGTCAGAGTTCATCAAAGATTGTTTGAGTAAACTGTAAGTAAAAGTATTCAAAATACGTTTTTTTTCTGAAACAGCTTAGTTAGTATGGTTTTGTTTCAGTGGCGAATTATCTGCATTATTTTTATTTATGATTCAGTTGAAAGTCAAGTCACGCGTGACGCTGTCACAATCCACGCAGTTGATAATATCTGTCAAAAAGAATCCAGGAAAATCCTCGAAAAACTTGAGTTTTGCGTAGAAATAAACGTTGTATCACTATTAGTGGTATGTACATTTAGTGAAACGCTTATTTATGTCAATATAAGAGAGATTTTCTCTGACAATACCTGAATAAAAAGAATACAAAGCTTAATACAATAAATTATATGAATATTTCCCTACGCTATTCTATTGCCTATTGCTATAAGCCACGCTGTTATGCAAGCAAGAGCAACGCTACCCATTGTTTGAACTCGTTTAATAGGTTCTAATCTGAGTGCCTATGACAAATTAGTATCATACATTTGCATTATGGCCTTTTAAAGATGTCTCAACAGGCGTGCGACTGCGGCGGAGCTAGTAATGAGGCTGAAATCTTTAGAAAGTTCTAGATGTGCCCGACTAACAAATTGGCGGAGAGACGCGCGGGTTGTGGGGTCACGCGTGAGCCTTGCGCGGCGCGTGAGTGGACGCACGCCTGTTCTTGGGATGCATCTGAACGCATCACGCCAATTTAGCCTTTACGGCGCGTCGTGATTGACTTGGGTTTTACGTGCGAACTGTGCCCCTTATTTTAATGACCGCTAGTGCAATAGTTGCCTGCGGAGGACGCGCGTTTATCGCATTTCGCGATGGAAGAGGTTTATTGTGATTTATAAGACCAAAAATGAGTACAATTGTCGCGTAATGTTATGAAGTAAAGATCAAAGTTCTACGCGATGTGTTAATTCGGATGGTAAATGTGAATAATGTACTAAAGGACATGAGGTTTTCTTTTCTCTATAAGTTCTATAACTTTGTGACTTTTTGAGTAGTTTCAAATGTTTTGCGCAAAATTTTGTTACTTCTCTTACCCTGGTTATGTTGAAGCTTTTACAGTGCAGATTTTAATTTTAATTTTGGCGCAGTTTTTTAAGCTAATTAGGAAATTAATTGATTGATGTGTTTTGAAGTCCAAAGTCAGTGAATTTGAAGACAGATTCTTACAAAGCTACTTTTACGACTTTTTGTGGAACAATACAAACATTTTAAAAACTTTTTAAAAATATTTTTTTTTTCATCCGTGGTAATGGTCTATCCTATGACAATGAATGCCGTAAGCTTTGCGATACGCCGGAAGTATAAATATTAAATAAAACGCGATATAAATCCGTAAATATATTAAAATTTGTATTAAGG